GTCAGACCCCGAAAGCTGGATGTCCTCATGCTCAGGGTGGGAACCGCACTCCTGCTGAGCCTCTAAGGGAGCATTTGCCAAAGTCCAAACAGGACATTAACACCTTGAGGGTGTCCCAGTGTAGATAAAGACTAGACCAAGGAGGAGCAGCCAGAGTGGAAGGGATGGTCCCCAAGTGCCCTGAGCACTGCCCTGGTCTCACCTTGAAGGTGTCCTAGTGTAGGTATGGTAAGGTTTTTTTAAAAAGGACGAGTGTTGGCAGAGAGGTAGGAGAATCGGGTCACACTTTGGCATGACTTAAAAATGTGCTACTGCCATGGAAAACTATGGAAATTCCTTAAAAAAATTAAAGCTAGCACTGCCATGTGACCCAGCAATCCTGCTGAAGGTCATGAGATGGGCCGGTGGAGGAGACGTCTGCAGTGCCGAGTTGCTGGCATGCACCACCACATCCGGGTCCCCACCTCATATTTCAAAGGAAATTCCTTACCTGGGAATAATTTTACATTTGCAAAGAAGCAGAGAGTGCCCGTTTGCCCCTCATCCAGTCCCCGCAAAGTTCCCATCTCGCAGAACCACAGTGCATCCGTCAAAACCAAGAAACGCAATTGTTCCAATAACACGGGCAGGTCACTTCCCCATGAGCTCTCATAAATACGAACCTGACACCCCTTTCCTCAGAAGCCACGCAGCCAACATACGTCAGTTGCTAGTTACACCTTCGGTGTCTGAAATTCAGGAGTGAGTGGCTGGGGGTGGGATGGGTGGCACACGCCTGAGATCCCAGAGACCCAGGAGGCTGAGTTCAGAGCCAGCCTTGGCAACTTAGTAAGACCCTAAGAAACTTAGCAAGACCCTGTCTCTAAATAAAACACAGACAGGGCTGGGGACATGGCTCCGTGGTTAAGCACAAAAAAAAAAAAAAAAAAAAAAAAAAAAAATCAGGAGTGAACATAAAGGTACAGACGCTGCCCTCAAGGGAGTTCCTGATCCCCCAGACCCCAGGGGCTGCCCACTAAGGCTCGCTGCTGCTCTCTCCCACGTGGGTTTTCCTGGGTGGACTCTGAATCTCTCCTCCAGGGAACACCAGTGTCTCCCGGGGGTGGGTCCCCCCATCCTCCTGGATGAAGATGACCTCGGCTTCCAGCCACAAAGAGAAGAAGAGTGTGGAGGACCTCCGTCCACCTGCTGGCCCGAGGGCCCCCGCTTCGTCCTTGGTAATAGAGTCAAGTGGTCACCCTTGGATGCAAGGGAAACAGGGAAAACCATCCCTGGTGGAAGCCACTGCCCGGGAATTCTACAAGACCACGAAGGGAAATCACATTTATTTGGGGGGAGAGCAGCAGACCTCTCTGCCTGGTGAAGAGGAATCAGATGTTAGGCAAATGAGCACAGTCCCATGGCCCCCAGCACGGCCCCCCTCCCTGGAGACCCACTCCTGTGCTCAGTGGAATGGCCACTGGCACCTGTGGGTGACATGAGAGGGAGGCCCCGGGGGCCCTACACAGAGCAGCTCCCAGAAGGCGACTGCACAGACCACCAGGATGGAGGGAGCAGGGGTGGCCGCTGTGGCTTCTCCTCCACTTTCCTGAGCTCTGCTTCCTAGGGCCCAGCTGTGCCCGTCTCTGAACATGAGAGGCAGACCTGAGGTCAGGTACCCATCCAGCCCCAAATCACCAGCTCTGCTCTGGGCCGCCCTTGGCCAGGGCACGTCCTGAACTGGCTGTGGCTCTGGATGCGACGGGGACTTGGACCTTGTCTGGAGTCCAGCACCGTGTCTACCCTTGGGCCCAGATGTTCTCATTCATCCGGGTGGAGCTGGGAGGCCCAGCAGCCTGCAGAACTCTTCCGGTGATGGAGACGCTGAGAAGTCATCTGGATAGGAATTCGAATCTGGAGTCTCGTGAGCTCCAGATACTCGGGAATTTACACCCCAGAGTCACCCCCAAACCAGCCCTGCCTCACCCAATGCCAGTTTTCCTGGCGGGAGTCAACTAGAGACCAACCTTCATGGTTTAGAGAACCAATCGCCCACCTGGTCTCAGGTGGTGGGGCCCAGCAGCTCGAGAAGGGATCTCCAGAGGGGAAAGGCTCAGAATGTCACTCAAAATCCGTCCTTGATTAAGTCTCTCAGCTCTTGGTTCCCAGCTGGGGCAGGGAGGCCGGGGCTTGGGTGGATAATGCTCTCCTGTCATGTCCCTGCTTCCCTGAATCGCCCTGGCCCCGCAGCACGGGACCAAGCAGGACTCGAGTGTAGGGAGAGACCCGCCTTCCCGGTGTCGGGGCCTCCTGGCCTCCCAGCCCCCTGGCCTCCAGCCCACAGGTGTCCTTCTGCCAGCTCACGCCTGGTCAGGGGCCCAGGAAGCAGACGTGCTGGCACGGTGCTGCCCCACACCCACGAGGCGCACACAGGCTCAGGATGTGGTCAGAGCCCCAGCACAGACGTTTGTGGGTTCCTAGCAAACGTCTCATAGAAAGGTCCTCCCGAGGTCTGGTTCCTCTTCCCTTGCTTGGGAAAAGGACAGCCATCGTCCTCAGACATCCCCGGCCACACCTGTGTCCAGCCTGGACGCCATCCCTGACCCAGGTCTAAATGGGCAGTGTCGGCTCCGGGGTCCTGCAGGAGGCT